AAATAAAAAAAAAGGCGAAGTTCGGTGGGTGAGAGAGTGCATCGTTCGCTGCTCAGACTTAGAGTTTTCTTTGTGGCAAATTTTCTACAGCACGGTTAGAGGTCTTACCAAATTTTAAGACACGCAGGAGTCTTTCAGATGAGTAATGGTTAATTTCAATTCAAGAGCCTTTGACTCGTCCAGGTGTTAAACCTGACGAGAAGATGAGCATTTGCTCTTCGACTCCGCAACACGGGGGATATACAAATTCCAGCTTGCTAGAAGGTGATGTGAAAGTGAGAAAATGTCTTGCAATGCTATTCTTAAGAAACTGTATGAGCGAAAATGGATGTGATTTTGACCATTCGCTTCAAAATAACAGCGGAAATCGAGATAAGAAAACATATGTTTTTTGCCCTACTTTGCAGACGAGGATGTGTATCGGCGTTTTGAAAAGCATAATTATGTTCTTTCATTTATTCATTGCCATGGAATATGCGTTTACATTGTTTTTTCACTGTCAATAGCTCGGTTAATGCGGCTGGCGATCATCTTGCCGGCGGAAGTTTCATGGAAAAGGAATAAAATGAAAGACTTTTCCCAAAGTTTACGGAGTCAGCCTCTGTGGTGTAGTGGTTGGGTGTATAGTCGCGTGGAGCTGAAGGTGCAGGGTTCGAGTCCTTCCGCATTATTTACTCTTCCTTTCCTTTTTTTTTTCCGTTTTTTGTGTTGTTGTTTTCTATAAATACAGTATATAGCTAAATAACTGTTACTTAATAAAGTGCAACAAACAGCAAGAAAAGTATTGTGTTTCCAGAGAAAATATCGTGCTCCGCATATTAAATATATGGATAAACAATCTAAATTTCTATTATTTCCTACAATTTACTGTGGGGAAACCAGAGTTGATAACCACTTGATCATTTTCTAAACAATGTTCCCACGAGTTCTTTCTATTGACTGATAGTAATTATTCTAGTACTTTCCAACATGTAAGTAGGACATTCAATGTCATTTTCGATTCTTTTAAGTCTCACTGCCTAACTAATGCCAGTATCAACAGAATGTGCCGCAGCATTACTATCTTTTAGATACCCTAGTTTTTAATTTAACTATCAAACAAAACTGACGTGATCCCTGCGGAATGGAAAGAGGCGAAGGTGACCCCACTGCACAAATCAGGTACAAACGATGAGCCTATATCCAAGTCCTAGAACGTTTAATCCACAAGCAACTTGCAAGCTATTTTTACGAATGTATAACTTGCTCTGTAAGTCACAATCCGGTTTTAAAAGAATGCACTCGACCGACGACTGTAACCTATTTCGTCGACGAGACTCTCACCAATATGGATAAGGGCTTAGTCACTGCTGGTACTGTGTTTTTCGACCTGGCAAAGTCTTTCGACACAGTTGACCATGAAATTTTGCTTAGCAAATTAGAGTATTATGGTGTATGCGATGAAAGCCTTCCATGGTTTAAGAACTACTTCTCGGGAAGAAAGCAGTCGGTGCACATTGATTCTCAGTCAACTGTAGGCTCGATTTCCGCCGTCTCCCGGGTCCGGTCTTTGATCCGCTCCGAAGAGAGACGGCTGGACGCGTGACCCGTTGACCTTGTCTGTGACGTAATTGGAAAATTGATAATTTAGGCGTCTCCGATATCCCTGGAAGTGAAACCGGTCCCCAATTTTCTTATTCATTTGGCTCAAACTTGCATCAAGCGCTCTCTTACCCACTCAAACGACTTTCGAAATAGTTTTTTCGGTACTTTTCTATACATTGTGAAAGAGATTCTTCCGTGCATTTCTGTACACGGCGACATGTAGTTAATTTTCTTTCATCTTCGAATGTTGGATTTCGTCTTCTGTGGGTCCGAACTGACTGATTCACGGAAGCGGACCAAATTAAATGGAGAAGTTTGTGATTTACCAGACTGAATTTCCAGCGTATTGAATGTTCCTCTGTCAAATATAAACGTGGACGGTTACATCTGTAACGAACGCAGTTATCGAGACCTAAAGCGCCTTGGAAAGATCCTTGAAGATGCAAAATTTCTCCAACCACAATCATTAAAAGAAAAGTTCACAACAAACAATCGAACAAAGCGTTGTGTTCCTTCGGACTCTAGAATTTCGTCTAGTGTCTCTGCGCCGTCGAAATGGCTTCGGAAGGGCTTTCTGTTTTGATGTGATAATTTCTGCGACAATCTTTGCAAGACGAAAATCTGCAGGCGGTAACATGATTGGCTTAAACCAACAAAGGAAATGTGTAAATAAAGTAAACTTGTCGAGTTTTGAACTCAAAAACTTTTTCAAATTCGTGCTCGCGTGATTAGCGCGCAAAAAGCAAAACACCTTGACGCCACAACCATGTTTACATACTCTCATAAACACTCCTCTCGGCCAATCAGAGCGCGGGTACTATCTTAGTTATTTTATAAATATATATTGAACAGGGATGGGGGCCTTGACCTACAAGGGAGACAAATATCCCTGGCCGGGATAGTTACATTGCCAACCATATAATCATAGTTATTAGAGGAGACTGGTTATGAAAAGCGGCAAACATCAATGATAAAAACAACAGTGCTGCAGTTTATGTTGAAAGCACCGTGAAAGTGCACAATCCTTTGTTTTCTGTTGGCAAATTGTTACGGAATAAATTAATGCAACGTTTTTATTGGTCAATACAATCAAAATGATAGGAATTCTTTTGAACGTTGTGCACTTTGAGGTCCACAAAAACATATAACAAAGGAGTCTGACGAGTTTCATAACCATTCCACTCAATTAACTATGATATAATACATAGATTTAGCCAGGGCTAAAAGCGAAGCTCTCGATAATATTTATAGTTTGTTCAAACAAAATATAAAATCGTGAAATGCTAAGCGGCGAAGGGATGCACCGCCGGAAAACGGTGAAAATAAACAATAGGTCTAATTAGCAAAAGCAACTTTGCACGTGCAGCACACTTTTTTTGTACATTTCTTTGCCGTTGTTTTGCACGACTACAACGCGAACTTCCAGAAACTTCTTAGTTACACGTTTTATAGAGGAACTGCATGTCGTACGTGTTCCAGTTCACTTTTTTTCACAGCCGCTCATTTTCACCTGCAATGGTGGCCGCTAGCATTTCCCATTATGTCACCGCTACAAAATTTTCATGTTGTTCTTCCAACAAAAAAATGTCTCCGGTTTTTTATCTCTCGCTCTAAATCCCTGTCACCCTTTTTCTTGTTGATCTTCGCTGGCCTGCCGCCCACTTTCTCCTTTTCTCTGACTTTCTCTTGCTCTATATTCCAAATGTTTGGACATGACAATATATATCTAAGCTTAATACTTTAGACAACACTGGTACAGAAACAATCTTCGCCTTTCGTTTTCGTCTTTATTGACTCCTTTGTTGTCTCTGCTTTACAAGACGCCGGTAGCTATGCGATTTCCCGCCAAAATAACCTCGAGTTGCATTGGGGTTGCCATACCTGTTGATTCGAGGTCCGGGTCTGACCCTGTGTTGTGATTTTTGTTTCTTTTAAATAGAAACACTCTCAATAACAGGTCAAAAATTTTCTAAGTGTATTAAAAATGGCAGCGACCGTTTACGAAACTTAGTGACAATAGCAACGCCGAGAAGTTTTATCTAGTGATAAAACATTGTGTCAAATGCTTGATATTACTTCTCAAGCAAAATGATTTTAGAAGGAGAAATTAGTATAGGTAATAGCATGATTTGTAGTGATATTTGGCATAAATACCAAGAGTGATATTTCGAAATTGTTGCACGTAATTTCACGAGCCGTTAAGAGAGTGAAATTTGAGACAATTTTGAAATATCACGAGTGGTATTTATGCGAAATATCACGTACAAATCATGCTATTATTTGTTTATACTACTACCCACAAAAGGTTTGTAATTTTCACATGTAGGTATTTCAAATTAAGCTGAAATTCCACTGCTCTAAGCCAATCAAATTGCAGAAATTTCTCATGTAGTAGTATAAAGGATGAAAAATTGATCAGTTTTCATCTGATTTCCAAACACTCATTACACATTAATTTCCTTTGCATTTTTTATGAATTATTAATGAGTTTGTGAATGGTGAACAAAACACAATGTCGTTACCTAGCTTAGGAGGAGGACGGGTATCAGTTTAACTGTTATCCTGATAAAAGTGTCCTAAGACTCTTAACCCGCATTATAGCAATGTTTCTTTTTTCGTAAACATTGATTTGTGTATCAAATGTGCCAACCTCTAAAACAAAATAACTATTTTAGTTGTTTGTTTGTTTGTTTTTAGGAGCCAATGATGACACATTAACATCAACAGATCCCGTAACGCGAAATATCATCACGTTGCATGCAGCGTTTGATAGCTTTAAGTAAGAACATCTTCTTTATGGGCTGATAGTACTAACAAGTAGTTTCCATTGAAATATTATATTTTTAAAATAGAAGTAGAATTTAGCAATCATGACATCAACAGTCCATCATGCTTACTGTTTGATCATGTAGGCAGCGATGCCAATCCATTTTGTAAAGTTTTGTTAGTTTCACAAGAGTATGTATATTAGGTTGCATAATACTGTAGAAGTATTTAAGGCGTGCTTTTAGGGTGTCTCTTAAAGGGGCTAGTCACTATTTAAGGTTTGTTAAGCTATGCAAGAGCCATTCGAGGCATCACTTTCACCCTACATTTTTTTTATTTACTATTGTAATTTTCCCTAAGTCTGTAAAACTGTAACGCTGTTTTTTGTAATGCTCTACGTTCGCTTCATCAATAAACGAGATGCCTGCTCCTATTCTATGTTTTGTGATTATTTAGATCAGTTACAAAATATTTTACAATCGTCTCAGTGTGATTAGAATAAAAAACAGGATTTCCTTGAAATGAAAGAAATCTTGGTCATTTTTACTTTCCCAAAGTAATAACGCAAATTGGTAAATGTTACTATTTAGCACTTCGTTGGTTGGTTCGTCATTTCTGTTAACACTTCACAGACCCTTCAGGCTTCCACTTTAGAGAGTTTCATCAAACATGTCAAAATTGACGTAATCTTCATCATTATACTCATCAAGGTTGATGTGGACCTGTTTTAAAGAAGCAATAAGAGGAAAACGCCATTGGTGAAGAATGCGATCTTCCTTAATTAACATAGCGTAATCTGCATAGAATGTCTTCAAGGGAGGAGGGATATAAAGGGAACCTGGGAAATAAAGATCCTTTATTGATGTGAACCCGTCCCTCTCTTCCCAGCTTCCTAACATGGGTCTTGATAGTGCTGGGCATTACTAATTTATTTAATGCTGCATGGTCATTGGCATTTTAACTTTAAGTTACTTTATAAATATTACACGGATAATCTTTTCTTTAGTAATTGTACCCGGCCTCTCTACCTTCTGGTCCTTGGTTAACCTCTTAACAGCAGTACAGATCCATTGGAATGAAGGGCGCTCTTTAGCATTCTCAGCCCAGCATTCGGTCAGAACAGAAAACCTGAAAATAGCACAATTCTAATTCATCTATGCGTTTTCTCACCAAAAACAAGGGGTAATAAGCGAACAATTCAATTGATCTGGCAACTAAACAATGTATCGATCGATTCAACTAATACATTTGCGTCCCATTGAAAGGACACCTCGCTATAACGGATAACCTGATTACGGGCCGCAAAGAAATAATAAAGCTTCCGGTTGACTGATATATTAACCACCGCAATTATCGCACTCCTGCTATTTGGGGCTTTACTTCCCGAGGGATGGGAGTCATCATCTAACGTATCAACAAACAATAGGTCATTTCCGAGTTCCAAAAAACCCTCACTTTGGAAACGAGGCTAAGTGCAAAACCTTTCTTGTTTCATTTGCACGAGAAGAAACAACCCCTTACATATCAATGGTTTCGCACTTAGCCTCGTTTTGACACAGATGGTTGGAGCTATTCGGAAATGGCCTATTCGATCAATCATCAACGAAAACAAAAACAATTTGACCTGTTTATTTTATAAGTATATACGGTGAAATATCGCTTTATAGAATCCTCATTATTGTTGGACTCCCCATTATATCTTGAAATCTCGATCCCGACAGACATTCAGTCCATCGAGTTATCTTACCGTGCCACTCGTTAACACAACTATTTACCCCTCGCAACCAATCAAATGAATCGATAACAGATATACTTTCTGAGAGCATGTACGTTAAAGCTCGAAAAGATAATAATGACAATCACAGTCACAATCAAAATCACAATTTAAAAAAAAGATAATGTTAATAACAACAATAATGATCACTTAGGATCGTAATGGTAATGGGAATAATGATGATGATGATGATGATAATGATTACGATGATGATAATGATTCTGGTAGTGGTGATGGTGGATCTGTTATATTAATGATAATTACTATACTCAATCTTAGAGGCATCATTGATGGTGTGAGAATGCTCCCATCATGATATTGTTAAACTTAAAAAAATGCGAATGTTGTTGATAAACCTACTAGACTCTCTTTAAAACTCGTCAGGGAAAGCGAGGAAGTCCAGCGTCAAATCTATACAAATGTACTTCTTCAAAAAATGTATAACGGCTTGAGAACAGAAACTCTTAACCTGCGATCAGGCGGTCCTTCTGCAGCTTAGGAAACGCTGTGATCATACACCTTGTTCAGCGGCCAAGAAAACCCCCTATAAAATGCCCAGCTCTTGCATTTTTGACTTAACGTAATTATTCAATTAATTAATTCAACCATTGCACCATGTAAAGGGAAGATATTTTCTGGCATTATATAATTATGTCAGTGGTTTACCAGGGGAAAGATACAAAGAGGTCCGACAGCCAAAACGGAAGAAATCAAAAGAGGCTACTAACACATCACTCATAGTGCTGCATTCACCGAAAAAGAGAGACTCTGGAGGCATCCACTTGACTGGAAGACGAGCCTTTGCAAGGAAAAAAAGACCATTAGCAGTTACGTGCGAACAAGGCAAAAATCGATGTTTTGGTCCCAACCAATCAAAACAACTGTCAAAAGAAAATAAATGTTTACAAAACCCTTCTATTAACGGATCAATTCTTTTCACTTTACACACATGAAGGTAAAACACTACCTGAGATGCCCGCATATAAATGCCATCACGTACATCACGCGCCAGTCCAAAGTCAGAAATTTTGCACACTTGGTTTTCGCCAACGAGAATGTTACGGGCAGCCAAATCACGATGGATTACCTGAAAGTTTATTTATGTTTACGTTAGATTTAAAACCTCCCTAGCAGCCCAACCGTATGTGAAGTTTGTTAACTTTTATGGCGAATACGAGCAGAAAAGGGGACGGGGGGCGGGGGAATTATATTCATTATTCATTTTTTCCCTCCAACTTTCTAGCAGTTAGACCTTGCGAGAATGCATGAGGCGAGACTTTGAGACCCTGGTTTCAAAATTCGAGATCGAGACCTACGCGTCTTTTTTTTTAAATCAGAGCCAGAGACCTTATACTTCTAAAATTTCCGAACGAATAGAAAAAAAAAAACGACAAATACGAGACTCTGAGACGCCAAGATCACTCCAAAACGAGACTTCGAGACCCTTCAAAAACTATTCAGAGATTTCGAGATCGGGTTAAAAATTTCCGGGACTCACGTTTTTTTGAGGTCCCATTCTATACCCCTTCTTTAAACTGTCGTTAAGGTGCGTTAATATAGAAAACATTTACTTGGCCTGCTATTCCCCCGATCAGTAAAGAGACAGGAGCTATGCCTTTAATGGCTCGATCATTCCACATTAAGCTGGAAAAATTAAAAAAAAAATAAATAAATAACTGGATATGGCATTGTCTTGCCACACTAATTAGGACGAAATTGAAACATTATACTTTTCCTGCTGTCCCGAGAGGTGTTTGGCACTTAAGCAGTGAATGATATATCACTAATTTAAGAGATTGCTTCACCTTACCTTCATTGTGGCCAAATATTGCATCCCGTCAGCTACCATCCATGCGAATGACAAGAGATCTTTCGCTGTGAGCTTGGATGAGGGTTTCTTTTCTCCTGTGTTGTAGCTGTCTGAATGTCCTCTGCTTTTCCTTAGACATCCAAGTAGATCACCATACGGCAAATACTCCAAGACGATAAGAACAGGATCTAGAGACACACATACGTTTCGAAGAATGAATCCATTCTAATCGAATGGATGAGTATGTAGAGTACTTATGTGATGGAATGGAGAGTTTTTTGGTTTGGTTTTCAGACACTCGCTGATTTCCTTGAGTTCATCTATACACTGTCATGCATTTGAATAATTAAACTAAATAACTAAAGTAAGGAACTGATGGAATGTTGGCTGTTCACCCATTTTCCTTTGGTTCGCGTAAACTATCATTAATGTCAGTGCACAGGTCTTTGGAGGTGTGACCTTCTTTTTTTTTTTTTTTCCTTTTTGGTTTGGTTTGGTTTGGTTTTGGTTTCGTTTTTTTGTTTTTTTTTTTTTTGTTCCTGTTAGTCCGACCTAATCCTTGGTTTGTTTTAATAAACATATGAATCAAAGGACTAAAATAATATATGTATATATTTTTTTTAATTCTTAGCTATTATCCGTTTTATTTCCCAAATTTCAAATACTTGCACTAATTGTCTTAATTCTCTGTTTGTCCTTGTTTCGTTTTGTTTTTCGTTTTTGTTTGCTTGTTTGTTTGTTTAAACTGTCTTTTTGTATCGCGTTTCACTCAGGAGATGTGGGACTTACTTACCACCGATGCTACAGCAGCCAATCAGCTTCAAGACATGAGGGTGAGGCTTGAGTCTTTTCATAACATTCAGCTCTGTAACCATATCTTGTTTATCTTTGTCAGTGGCGCTTCCTTAAATTCGAAAAAACAATGTGAATCATCCTTTTTAGCAGGTAGCAGCTAATTCTGGTTTCACTCAATGGATGCTACACACAATTACTATAATCTAGGTTTCGGAAACTCGAGACGAAAATAAAGATACATGTATAAAAGTATTGACCACTCCAGAAATACCACAACATAACATAATGCTCTTTGTTTGTCACTCCTAAATTTTGCATAAGCATTGTTTTCAGTTTCTCTTGGGAGTTAAAATGGCCCCAAGAGAAAATGAAAACAATGCTTAAGCAAAATTTGGGGTGACAAACAAAGAGCATTATGGTATGTTATGGTATTTTCTGGAGTGGTCAATTAAATCACGCATATTGCTGTAGAGGTTGTCGCTGATGTTGTTTAATTTCCCTTTGAGGTGACACTGAATGACCACACAATACAAACCACACACTAATTATTTAAGAATATATAACCAAAATCATCGGATCAAATTGTCCAGAAACGTAACAAGAAGAGTGATCATACGCTCTTCCGATCTAAGATTATGATTACGATAAGTATAACGATATACATATAAACGTTTATTTAATACGTCTTGGAACGCGTGTCGCCAGCGTGGTAGCCTTTACCATAAGGATGATACACATGTATAAAGAGGCAAGAAAACGCAAGGCAGATGTTACCTTTAAGAGATTTCACAGCCACTGTATCGTTCCCCATGGTGGCTTTATATACTTCACAGAAGTTACCACTTCCTAGTAATCGTTTTAATGCAACGTCATCGCGTTTCAGCTCAAAGGATTGAATTTCACTAATCTCCATATACTGAGGAGAGCGATTTATTATATGGTTTACGTCTTCTTCTTCTTCTACGACATCCATGTTAAACTCCCCTGTCGGATGACTGTACGTCCTCCCTAAAAATGACATATTACATAAAATATTGTATCAAATTGGGAATGAATAATTTTAAGCAAATAGTTATTAATATTTTCCCATACCTTGCTCCTTCAAAGGCATATTGTCTGTCTTTTTATTTGTTCCATTAACCCTGAAGTAAAAGACGGACAAACATGAAGATGGGAAAGAAGAGGTAGAAGGAAGAAATTGAGTGGGAAAGAAAATACCCTCTGCTACATTCAGTTTGCGTATCATTCACCCTTGAGTGCCAATGCAAAAGCTCAGAATTTAATCCCCAAACAGCTGAAGCGTAGCAGGTTTAAATAAAGATAGAGCGATTTTGGTATGACCTTAAAAAATGGTTTCGGTAAGTGTTCGTTATTTTTTTCCCAGCCAATGGATGACAAAATCAAAACAACGACTCTTCGTTTCCCGGCAAAGAAAACCTTAATATATGGAGAAGGCAATGTACGATTGGCCAATTGTGTTACGGTATGACTTCAAGGCAAAGTATCGGTTGATTTCTAGAAAGTGAAGTTTTCGGGCCACAACTTTTTTGTCACGCGTCACGCGCTTCTATATCCGTTTGATAAATTAATAAAATCGCTCTATTTCCGTTCTTGATCAATAATAGCCTGCGAAAACATTCGTTTCTCCTCGCTCTTCGCCGCTGGGGACGTTTCGCGCGAAGGAACGTCTGCGACTCAGCGACAGAAATTCCATACTGATGACGTAAAATATGTCCAGAATCCGGTCACAAGCTCTGATTGGTCGAAGGAGCAGTTACATTGTTTTAGCTATTGTTTACGAATGACCGACAAAAGACAAAAGGCCACAAAGGTCAAATGTAAACGCGATGAATCTCTAACAAAGCAGTCAATATTTGTGGAATATAGTCTTCTCTAGAACAAGCATTTGAGTTTTGCTGGAGCTCGTTCGCAGATGAACACAACACTTTACCAAAATCGATCAGAAGAAACGTAGACTACGAGTAGTCCCCCATTTTTCCTCAGGGATAGTAGAGCGAGCGAAACGCGAGCGCGCATGAAAATCACCCCACGCGAGAAAAGGCGACACGAGGCGGGAAGAGAGAAAAATGAGGTACTACAGACAGAGCCAAAGCTTTTGAACTTATACGTTGCTCTCACAACGCAAAACTCTGATTGGCTCTTCCATAGAAATCTGTCAGCATCTGTCAAAAATGCGATGCCGCTATCAACACTCGACTTAATCACAATTCACAGAACAAATAACTAGAGCAGAACAAATAACAGCACAGAACAAATAACTACAGTTGCTCTTGTAGAAGCAACTAAGAAGAAAGCCAACCCGGCAACTGATGAGGTTCGCGTGGAGAACCGAAACCATGGTCTTGCCTGATCACAAGGTGGGAATAACAGAACAGTCGCAAGGCTGTTAAGCTTATTCAAAAGTTATCACCCAGGGAGGAACTACGCACTCCAGTCCAAACTCTCACATTAACTCCTGAAAAACAAGCGGTAGTTAAAATACATGTTTCGCTTAATTGATTTGGAAGGGGATACGAACTTCACAGTCCAAAGTCAGTCGGCCGTCAAGGGTTAAAAGCTTGGGCTCTGTCTGTAGTCCCTCATTTTTCTCTCTCCCTACCGTGTGTCGCCTTTCTTCGCGTGGGGTGATTTTCAAGCACGCTCGCGTTTCGCTCGCTCGCTCTACTATCCCTGAGGAAAAATGGGGGACTACTCGTAATCTAGAAGAAACCTAAAATTGAATAAATTTACATTTGGAACCTCATGATTACCGGATGTATTTAGTAAACATTGATTTGCGTCATCAGTATCGAATTTCTGTCGCCAATTCGCAGACGTTCCTCCTCGCGAAACGTCCCCAGCGGCGAAGAGCAAGGAGAAACGGATGTTTTCGTAGGCTAGATCAATAACGATTCCTTAAAACATAAGCAAGCGAATATTAACGTTAAAAGCCGACGTTTCGGTATCATCATGACACCATTCTCAAGGCAAAATGAATAAATAATGCGAAGATTTGAATACTATAGTCTCTACAAATTATCATAATAACAAAGGATCACAAGTTCTTCAAGTGAATACCTTTGCGCGAATCGAGTCCGCCAGCACGCTTATAGTCTGCTACACAGCCGTTTTTAGTGTCGTCACGCAACGCTCCTCCCCGTTGCGTAACGACACTAAAAACGGCTGTGTAGCAGACTAGCACGTTTAGGGATGGTTTGAGTTTTCTTATAAAGAGCATCTCCTTAATTAGGCAATCAAATTTGTTAGAACCTTTAGCGAGCACGTGAAATTGATCTGAAAGAAAAGGTGGTACGTCCGCGTTATGTTCGCTAAGATAATGTTTACAAATTGACGATGATTTCTGTTTGTGTCCATCAACGCGCGTTCGTGAAGGTGGCCGCGAGTATAACCAACATATCCTGCATCGCACAGGTTACATTGAAATTGATAAACTAAACATTGTTTGTTAACAATGGCTGGCTTGACTTCTCGAAATTTAAGGTCTTCGTGGAGTCGGGCTGAGTAGTGGTCTTGATTTTTAGCTATTTCCGTTCGTTTGTTAAAAAACACTAAAGAATTCGGGGTGCAAAGAAAGTCAGTTTTACAGCCTGCCATTCGGGCAAGCTGTAGCTAGCATGTTCTATAGTCCACAAGTCATTTTAACTAGGCCCAAAACCCTTTTTGATTAGCAGGATTGATTACAATCCTTCTGTGATTTGAATTTTCCCAAAAAACAGCACTTGCCTGTCGGGCAAGTTAAGAACAAAAAATCGCTAGCCCGATGGCTATACAAAGAAACTGGCACGCATATCTGTGTAGCTTAAATAAACAAAAGTTCTTTGGGATTGTCAGAAAAGGACATAACTTGTCTGTTTTCAAAGAGATAAGTACAAGAATGGTGCAACAAAATGCTTGGGTGGTATTGCTTTTCAATGCAAAAGTTGGAGACTTGAATATATATTCAGTGATTTTGGTTACAAATAGTTATGGTAAGTCCTGGGACTCCTCTTGTGAAAAATGTTGAGTCCCAGTCCAGCAACATTGAGTCCCAGATAAAAAAAAGTATACGTCTGTAATTGAAAATGCTTGGGCCTTTTTGTAACCAGACAGTTAATCTGACTTGTTAGCTTTACAGACTCCTAAACTCTGTATTACTGCAGGTCGCTGAAATCAAAATACAGTCCTTCTATAGGCTAAAAGAAATATGCATCCTTCAACAACGGCCATAATAACGGGTTTTGCTAAGAGCAGACCCTTCTTTTTCTGCCCAGCGGCCCGCGGCCCACGGCCCGCGACGGCTTCTCGGCCCGGAAGCCCAGCTGCCCGGCGGCCCGGAGGCCCGGTGCCCAAGACCTGGTTTTCACAGATTTTTTTGTCCAGCGGTAAATCCACGCGCATGCACAGATCTACATCTGGTTTGGGCGTGCAAAATGGACGACGGTGAGTTTGAATTCGTTTACCATTTTAATAATCATTTCAATCCTTTTCGACCCTTCCTTTCTTTGCGTGTTGCTAAGTGAAAAACGTTGTCATTCGCTGTTTATTCGTCTGTTTACAGAACCCGATAGAGAGGAAGTCCATTCTCGAACGATGTAAGTTATTTTCAAACGACAGTTTGAAAAAAACGTGTATTGTTTTTTTTATAGCAGTTACGTTGTTTTAAATCAGCTTTGCAGTAGTCTTTGGACTTCTCGTTCTTGGTTCTTTATAGTTTGGCTGATTAGATCTCTTTTCTAGAGATCCAACGTTTACAACTGGCAGGATCTTCGTCCACGGTTTTTGCAGTTAATTTAATCCTTTATTAGTTTGAAAAACTCTGCCCTGCTTTCCTTTTGGGGTGGGGTTCCTGTAAATAGACCGACATGTCTCTGTATACAAAAAGATTCGCAGTTCACATATCTCCTTACTTATGATTTTTCCACTTTCAAAGTATGGTTTGAAAATAACTTATCGTTCGATAATGAAAGTCCTCTATTGTGCCATCGGTTTCTGTAAAGAGACGAATGAACAGGGAATGAAAACGTTTTTTATCTGAACAACATGCAACAAACAGAAACAAGGATTAAAGTGATTAAATGGTAAACGAATTCAAACTCACCGTCGTCCATTTTGCACGCCATAACCCGATGCAGATCTGTGCAAAAAAGCTATGGAAAATCAGGACTAGGCCACCGGGCTTCCGGGCCTCCGGGCCGCGGGCCTTCATGGGCCGTGGGCCGCGGGCCGCTGGGCCGTCGTGGGCCGTGGGCCGCGGGAAGCTGGCCGGGGGCTTGCTTTTAGCGAAACCCCATAATAACTGCCACAGAATACACAAACGGGTTATTTCTACAAAGTATAGACATGTTCAGATTTTTTTATGGATCTTTGCGTCCATTGGATTGCAATGCCATGAATATCATTATTTTGCATCTTTGGGGGTTTTTATGCATCAAGGATGCAGGATGCAGAGGTTAACAAAGTCACTGCGTATTTTTTTGTATGGACAATGAAATGTACGCAATGAAAGTACTGGATTTACAGCTTGTGGTTGTCGCTTCTCCAGAAGCTACACTGTATATAGCCGATTAAGTAAAGGTTGGCTATTGGGCTTTTGAGCATACCAAACAATGCAATTATTTCTCTGAATGACCACCAAACAATAGCTTACTGCATGTTGCTCAATTCCAAATGCCCAACATAAGGTCCTGATTGTTTACATGTAACAAACTAAATGTCAAAATATCATGTTCCTGAAACTTTTTAGGACTTTCCAAGCAGAAAAATAACCATTTTAGGCTTAAGTGAGTCAATATAATAAGTTACATGTCTTTATAAAATACCTGAGATAGTACGCGTGATCTGATTGGTCAAAAATCTATGGTTTATTATACCGGTAAACCCAAAGAAAAGGGCATCCGTACCACGAGCCATAAACAAAACCGGCTATTGATCTGCAAGCAACGATTTTAGAAAGGTTAAAAAGCACAAAAAGTTACTTACCCAGCCCTTCTTAATATTAAAAGCATTGGTTTCCACATTTTATTACTGAGCGTCACAATTCGCTACTGCCATAGCTTTAGAAGTTATAAAGTACAAATCCGGAAAGCAGTTTACATTTCACGACGATGCCAAATCGCAGAGAAAGTCAACAACTGTGTGGATTTCTGGTGTAGAAAGTCTCTAGGAAAGCTTAACCAGGTGCCGACCAGCAACGAAAAGGATAGTTTTAGCATTTTTGATTTTCACATGGTACAAAATCGGCCGCTGTAGGTGTCAGAGTTTCGGGCTGGTTTTTCCCAACATTTGCACAAATTATTCGGTGATATCGATGCCATAAAGTACCTCAAACCACATGACTTCACAAATCGACAAATATTAACGTACGCCAATATGTGGCTACGGCAAAGAAACCTTTCTCCACCACTGACATATTTCCATTGGTCGCTGTACGTGGATATAAAGTTACATGCGACAACTTCGCAAATGCAGCCACGTCGTTACCGCAGCATTTCTTGATCATGTTAAAGTTTAGAAAACAGATCTTAAACCACTGCGGCTTGTAAAAAGTGAGTGAAGTCCTCCATTACAATAGCTGCCAGTTCCGTCTGTAAGCACGATATTCTTAGGGATCGACTCAACAAAATACAGCTGCGTACAGTCTGATGTTTAATTTTCTACTTCTGTGGTAAACAAACCATGAACGTATTCTTTCATTGATAAGTTATCATGTACTGAGTGCAAAAGCTCTTGTTTTGAAGTGCTGCTGTTTGTTGTTCGACTGAACTGAGTTTTGAGAAAGTTTAGCGCTATAAAAATCGTGAGTCATGATTGGCTTATGATAAATTTAGAGAAGACATGACTTGATCACGGTATTAAAACCATTTTTTTTTTTTTACTTAAAAGACTCCATTCTACTAAAAGTGATTTTATAAAAGCAATAGACCACGCTTTCTATGGGTTTACTGGCGTGATAATCCACTTGGAATGTTGGGAGAACACTCGAAAAGCTTGAAAATCACTCGCCTTCGGCTCTTGATTTACAAGCTTTTCCCGTGTTCTCCCGACATCCCACGTGGGTTATCACGCCGGTAAACCCATAGAAAGTATGGCCTATTGCTTAAATAATATAAAATCTCATTATTGAATTTTACTTGCCAACTATACATACATTCATTCTCGCAAGACCCACAATAATATTTGATTCCACTAAAATCATCATGAAGCTTGCAAGCCGGCCTGAGCCAGAGTATTCACTATTGCTTTTGTAGTTAGTATTGCTATGTGTGAGCGAAAGAGGACGGACACAAAGCTTAAGAGGCCCTGCGCCTAAGAAACGACCGATGATTTCCGGCTAAAAAATAAAATCGGCCGATTTTTATCTCCCAAGTAGAGGTTACCGAATACTATTCAAAAATGATTTTTTTTGTTTTAGTTTCGCATTAAACCAAAAATATCGAGCCGCAAACTTTTTCCGTCTGATAGCAGCAAAATCAGGCCTAAAATAAGCTCTCGCAAAAAACGGTTCAGAAATCACTATCGCAACACAAAACAACGAGAAAACAACACAGTGATGAAGAAAAAGGCCTTTTAATGCAATATCATTCGATAAACATCGAAAAACTGCCGAAGGGAATAAAAAATAAATTTTCAAATATTGCATATTAAATTAGATAGAGCGTTGGAGTTGATTTTAAAATAATAATTTCTCAAAAGTCCAACGCTGCTGAAAGCAATCACAGTGATGAATCAGACATTGGAGGGATATACATTACGATTCTGGAAAAACATTTTTCGGCCAAAGTATTCTGACGTTGTAAAAACCGTTCAAAGTTACCTTATTTACCGTTAAGTTGCCACTTCGGCGAAACACTTCTCTGTTGCCAATATGGCCACGGATAGCGTGGTAAACGCCACTTTAAGCCTTGCTAGGCGCTCAAAACCATCCTAAATAGAAGTATATAGAGTTAAAAGAGAAAGGAAAATGAAAGATTCGCAGAAAAAGAGAATAACCCGAAATTACCATCTGCTAAGGAGAGTTGAATCTTGGAAATGTTGTCGCGTGACAGCGTTCATTTGTCCGAACTGCAGCGGGATCCAAACAAATACGTGAAATGTAAGTTTAAAAAGAAAATCGTGAAGTGAAACAGTTTTATGTTTTCCTATTAATGATGATGAATTCAGCCTCAGCTAGTCTCTAAGTACTTTGAATGTGGGCTGCTTGTATTTCGCTACATACATTCCAACGGACGTTACGGGTCAGCGCGTGTAGGGGTCAGCGGACCTGAAGAAAGGTGACGAAGTTGGAGAGCAACGCCATGCTAGGAGGGACATTGGTAGGTACCAAAAACCGAAAATAAATGCGGTATCGGTATTTCGTCGATTTTTGACACGGTATTTCGTTATTTACCAATTTCTCTCACGGTATTGCGGTATTTAATTAATTTAATTTAATTTTGCGAGGAAACGTGAGACGACCTCGAATTGATCGGTACAACGAACGAAAAAGATACCCTACCAATTTCATCATAGATTATCTGTCAGAAATTGTGTAATGGTAATCATTTACCATTAATCTAAAGTCTTAAAAATACTGACGTGCATTAAACTAGCCTGCGTAGCAGGCGCTTGGAAGTAGTGGGCGCGAGAGAGAACGGGCGCGCGCGAGGGACACTCGCGAGGGGTCCTCCAAGCGCCTGCTACGCAGGCTAGCATTAAACAGGATGGCGCAATGAACAGTACCGCAATACCGGGATCTTCTTTTATCGGATACCGTTAACCAAAAGGAAGAAATA